CGTGTGCCCCGCTGGAGCCTTCACCGGCTCGGCTGCCGGCTTGCCTGCTGGAGCCTTCACCAGCTCTGCTGCCGGCTCCGGCACTGGTGCCAGTTTTGCTGCCGGCTTCCGTCGGTACTAGCTCCGCCCCCACCTTCTCGGCCGGATGGACGCTGCGGTTGTGTCCCTCGGGTCCTGGGCTTCCCTGCGGAGCCTCCGTTTCCCCGCTCTCCTCCTGCGCCCTCAGGGCAGCCTTTTATCTCTGCCAGGCGGCGTCTCCCGCTGACGTCACCCGGCCCCAGCTGGATATGGGCGCGGCTGATGAACCGCATGGGCGGTTTTGCCGCGCGCGTTTCCCCATGCCTTTCGGCCCCTGCAGGAGGTAAGTGGGGGCTTCCTTGCATTTTGGCCTGGGGTCTTCCTGCAACCCGGCTCCCCTGGGACACTTACCTCCAAGATGTTCCAGGAGCAGCACAGACTGATGTTGCCTCCTGGCCTGCTCAGCACAGACTGCTCCTTCTCTCTCTGAGGACCTAGGTTAAAATGAAGGCTGCTCTGCCCCCTCAGCCAATCCCAGGGTCCTCCTAGGGTCATGTGCTAGCCTTGATGAGGCTAGCACCCCCCTGCCAGCTGCTCCACTGCCAACTAGAAACCTTGAAGTGGCAGGCACTGCAGGTACCCTGCCACAGTATGTATGTATATACATATATGTCTGTGTATTCATATACACATACACACACACACACACAAATATAAGATGAGGCATAGATGGTCCAAGAACATTTGTGCTTACTGTATACACGTTATACATAACTTTATGAAATTCTGTCCAGAGATAATCAGTTCCTGCAGGATTCACACTTCAGCCTGCATTGAACACCACTGTATTTGGCACTAGTGATATGTCATCAGTTTGCCAGTATTGTGACATGAGAAGCTTTGTTAGTTAGAAAATTGGCAACCATGTTAAAGGATGTTGCCTATATATGGAACCTATGTATGGAGATTGATAAGATTGGAGCAAATCTATACAGAACACTGCCATATATCCACTTAATTAAGTAATCTTTGTTTAAAATGCAGGTTTCTGGTAATTTGATAAGATTGGAGCAAAGTACCAGAAACCTGCATTTTTTAAAAAAGACTACTTAATCAAGTGGGTGGCAGTGACTTTTCAGAGGATGTTATTCACCACAATTCAAAATCTGTGATTTTTGCCCCGAAAACTGTGGTTTTAAAAATGAGGACATCACTGACAGAATTATTGGAGAAGAAAGAGTATACTTCAGCACATGCTCTTAATGCTTAAAATAATGAACATTGTAGCAAGAATATCTGATATCCAACCAAGTTTCTTAACAGTTAGTCACAAAGTAGTTTGCTCCCCCCGCCACTCAACTCACGCTTAAGGTGGGAATGGTTGTGATTCTCTTGTGAAAAACAGATTCTATTGTGAAAAATGAATCCAAAAATTGGTACACAAATTTGGGGGGGGGGGGACAAATCTTAAACTGGGTTCCACCATTTTTAAACTAGTCCGTGTGCATCAAACTTCGGTTCTGTTACAGGTATAGACCAGTTTCCAATCACATACTGTACTGGTAAAAGTGTAATGTCTGTACCTGGCCAAACATGATAACACAACAGGCTAGTGGAAAATGCATTTAGCAAGAGTCACAATATGCCCATCAAACACTGGTTTACCTTTTAAGATATACAGAAGGCAATTTCCTATCAGAGTAGCTTTTGTAATAACTATCAACAAAAGCCAATGTCTAACACAGCATGTTTTTAGACATGGCCAACTAGATGCTGCAATCATAAGAGTGTAATCATTTGACAACCTGAAAATGCAAATTGTATAGAGAAATAATCCAGGAACATTGCCACGTTTTTCATGTAAATACCTTCCATGTTTGGTATTCGCCAAATCCTCTAATGAAATTCATAATTATAATATGCCCTCTCAAGATCACATGCTGTTTATTTCCCCTTCATGACTTGCAAAATGACTGAACCTGCTTCTGTTGGTTTCAGTGATGCATTTGAACCCCCATCTGAAGCTACTCCAAGTTCAGTAAGTGATTTCAGAAGATAAGTGGACTATCTTGTGTTTGTGTATATCTTGTTATATACACAAAGACACGCACATACACATCCTTTTTTCAGAGGTATACACGGCATCTTACCTCAAAGTAAAATCCCTCACCCTCAATCTTTTTTTTTTAATAG